TTCATCCTCTTCCCTGCCTCCCTGCTTTTGGTATTCCCAGTGTTTATTATTTTAATCTTTATGGCCATGGTACCCATGTTTTAGTATATCTTAAAGATTGATGTTAAGATTAAGTGAGATAGTATCTTCATCTTACAGTTTCTTTATACTCTAATCTAAGGAGACTGATTTTTGTGTGTTTGATATAAAAAGCTGATTAAAGCATGAAATCACTTTTTAAAATTATTTTGCTTTCTTTGTTAGACATGGGATTTTTTTTTTTTAATTGTGTCAGTACTTTAAATATATTTTGCCATTCTTTTCTGGCCTGTAAAGTTTTGTGGAGAAATCCCCTGTTAATGTAATCAGTATTTACTTATATATGTTACTTGATGTTTTTCTCTTGCTGCTTTTAGAATTCTTTGTCTCTGACTTTTGACAGTTTTATTTTAGTGTGCTTCAGAGAGGAACTATTTGGGTTGAATCTAGTTGGGGTCCCTTGCACTTCCTAGACTTCCACGTTTATCTTCCAAGACTTGGGAACTTTTCAGCTATTTATATTTCATAAATGTGTTTTCTGCACCTTTTTTCTTCTTTTCTCCTTCTAGAATGCCCATAATGCAAATTCTGTAGGCTTTTGTTCTAGTTGTTTCTCTGCTTGTGTTATTTCAAAAGACCTGTCTTCAAGTTCAGAAATTTGTTCTTCTTCTTAGTCTAATCTGTTGTTGCTCTCAATTGTATTTTTAATTGTATTCATTGAATATTTCAGCCGTAGAATTTCTGTTTGTTTATTTTTTATATCTACTTAATTTATCAAATAATGATTTGGTTTTTGTATTTTATTGACGTTTCTGTCTGTATTATAGAATTCTCTTGTACCTTACTGAGTTTTCTTAAGCTTATTATAATTCTTTTTCTGACATTTCATATTTTCCTTATATTTGGGGTCTGCTACTAGAGAATTATTGTGTTTCTTTGGAGATGTTGTCATGTTTCCTTCTTCATGTGTGATGTGTCCCTATGTTAGTTTTTATGCATCAGGTTGAAAGGTTGCTTTTTCCAGTTTTATAGAGTAGGTTTAATAGGGAAAGACTTATTTATATGAATGGGTCTTTCCTTAGCCAGTGGAGCACACAGGCTATGATCCTAGGTGGACACAGTAGTGTAGTCTCCATGTAGTTTCTAACACTGTAGTGCATGCAAGTGATGTTTGTGTCTCAGTGTCCTAGGCTAAGAGAATTTGTGTCAGTGATTGGCACAGCTTTCCAGGGTATGGCCTCACCAGGCTGTTTCGTAGGTTTGGGTGTGCATACATGCACTCAATGGGTCAGCCAACTTAAAGCTGGGGCTGTGGCTATTGGGTGTTACTTGGGCCAGAAGTACAACCATCCTGGAGTTGTGACTCCCAGTAGAGGCCCATGGAGCTGTTTCTCAGGTCTGGCATGTGGGCACACAGCTGCTTGGCTGAACTGTGGGCATGTTTTCCATGGGTGAACTTTGAGGCTCTCAGGCCTGGGACATGGTTGCTCATCTTCTCTGCTAGCCTGGGTGTGTGTCTGCTGGAGGAGGTCCCCTGAGGCTGTTTTTCAAGCCTGAACTGCAGGCACAAGGCTGCTCATGGGACTGTTTTCAGACTCGGGATGCCAGCTCACAGCTACCTGGCTGGCCTGAGGCATGTCTGCTGGGAATAGCTGACAGGTATGCTTCCGAGGTCTGCATTGCAAGTGCACAGCTGCTCAGCTAACCTAGGGTATGTCTGCTGGGACCGGCCCACAGAACTGCTTCTCAGACCGGAAACAGGTGTGCAAGGCTGCTCAGCTGGCCTACAAGTGACCCCAAGGACCGTTTCTCAGGTCTAGGTCCTGGGATCACAGATACTTAGCCAACTTGGGGACTTATCCTCCAGGAAAAACCTACAGAACACATTTACAGGCCTTAATTAAGAGGACAGGGCCATTCAGCAGGCTAGGGGTTTGTCTGCGGGGATGGGGCATAACAGGGCTTTCACAAGGCCTGACTGTAGGTGCTTAGAAGCTCAGCTGGTCCAGGTGCATGTCAGTTGCTTTAGAGGCTTGAGGGTCTCTTTCCCTCAAAGGAAGGGTATGCAGCAGTTTGGCTGGCTTAACGATGCATTTGTGCTAGGCTGGGCCACCAGACTGTCCTTCTGGCTGAAGGTGAGAACAGCAGGAATTAATTTCCCTGCTGTGTACGACCAGAGTCACAGCTGATCTTGGGCCCAGGCTTCACGCAGGTTGGATTGAGGCATGCAGCCACCTGTGTGGGCTTGGTAGAATGAAGATGGAATGCCAATACTGGAGAGGTGCAGTGTCTACTAGCTCCCAAAGAAGTGCATACTCTGAAGGTTTCTCTAGTTTTAAAATGGTGCTATGTTGCAGTAGCTTGGCTCACAGGGGTCTAGGTGCAGGGAAAGTGCAAACGTTATACTCCTAATCTGGGACAATGCACCTGTGAAAATTCCCAGCAGCTTTACAAACTGGACTCAAGGCTTGTGTGGACAATGGGGTTGTTTTGTAGAAAGGATTGTAGGTGTTTGCAGTGGCAATGGGGGCTGGTGGGGTTCTTCAGCTTACCTTTTCCCTACAATGGAAATTATCTCCTGACTCTGGACAGGTCTGATCTAGGAAGGGAAGATGGTGCTACAGAGGCCAGGTGTCTCCATTTCATGCTGCTCTCCTGCTCCCCGTCCCACCACCACTTCCCGCCCCCCCAACCCCAGCTTCCAGTCACCACTGGTGCATCTCCACTCTCCAGCACTCTCCCTTCAACACTGTACTAAAGTCTTATCTGACTATTCACTGCCTTTCTTCTTTCTTGTGGGGGGTGACAAACACCAGGCATCTCTAGTCAGCCATCTTGCTGATACCACTCTGTATTGTTATTTTTTTTGTTTTTGTTTTTATTTTTCTGGGTATTTTTGATCTATGGGTGATTGAATCCATAGATGCGGAACCCACAGAAACAAAGGGCCATTTTTACACTTTTTAGTTACTAAACTACTGAGCTAAGAACAAGACCATTTTAATTTGTTTTGTTTTTTTGTACACAAGTTTGCATATGTCTTCACTGTTTGGAGCTCTGTCTTTTTTGCATTAAACCTACTTATAATACATAGTCTATGATATCTAGTTTTGGTTCATTTAAAGGGACACAAAAAGCTTTTTTTTGTTTTTCTTTTTTTAATAGGAAAGGAAAGATAGTTGTTCTCCAACTTTTTCTCTTCAAAATCACTCAAAAGCAACAAATCAAAAGAGAAACAAACACAAATTCCTTCTTTGACAAAATCAGAAGGAATTTTAAATCTCAAACTATGTGTATTATGAAGCACAATGAAGCTAAAAGAGAGATGCAGAAAGATGCCAAGAGGAAATACCCAGGGTTACTGATCTTAGACAAAGCCAACAGGACACAGTTGCCTAAAGTGTCATATCCTGAAGAACAGTCTGAAACAAACACAACTGATAACAAAAGAGAAATAAAGAATATAGAGATTCCAAGAATCACATTGAAAAGTCATGTTTGTAGGAAGCAGGATGGAAAAGATTATGAGTTCTGAGTTATCCTGCAGCTACTCATCTCAGGATGGTAGAAAGAAGACTAAAGGCTGTAACTCACACACACACACAATTTTGTGATATGGGAATGTGTAATTACTGCCTTGAAGTGCAATCCTGGATTTAGTCCAATATTTTCTACTGCAAAAGTTTGGTCCAGCAGGTACTCATTTGATTCAAAAATGGGCAAAATTTTTTAAAGGGTGAGGGGTATGTAATCTTTATGGGTTCTTTACCAGAAGGGGAGATTTTTTTTTTTTTTCCTGGAAAGGTTCACAAAAATTGGATGATACAAAGCCTTACTTTTTGCAGTTATCTAGTATACTTCTTAAATTCAAAATAAACTTAGGCAATAATTAAAAAATAGGGGCTTTGAAAAAATAATAAATTTATTTAGACTTTGCAAAGAAATCTGAGTATAACTTTTTTAGAATTTTTTATTCTTTTTATACAGTCTTTCATATTTGTTTTGACTATATGAAATTGACAGCAGTTTCTTTTGGTGACTTTTCTTTATCAAGCCTTTCACAAAGGCATTGAATTTATAGAAATATCTTTTCCTTTACTACCATATTTTATTGGTTATGTAACATTTATTTATATTACAGATTGACTCATTCTTCATCTAAAATATTAGGACCAGAGTGTTTCGGATTTTGATTTTTTTTTTTTATTTTGAAATATTTGCCTTATATACTGTACTTGCCAATTGAACATCTCTATTCTAAAAATCTGAAATGTTCCAGTAGGCAAAATACCTTTGAGTGTCATGCTGGCACTCAAAAAGTGTTCAGATTTTGGAACATTTTTTATTTTGAATTAGGGATATTCAACCTGTATAATATTACAATAATATAACTGACATAACAGGTTCAGAAATAAGCTTAGTTGACTCAATAAACATAAAGTTAATCTAGTAGGAGCAAAAACATGTCAGTGAACTGGAAAATGTCCTACAAAGTAGGAGGGTTCAATGTACCATAGGTATCTGTTTTAGAAAGAAAGAAAATTATAACGTTAAGTCAATATTACAGAAAATATGAACATATGCTTTCCTATTGTCTCTGAATTATTCTCAAGGATATATAGTTTTAGATACAGCATTTTACATTTTAATTTTAGTCAAAAAATGTTTGTGCTCCTCCTATTGCCCTAAACGTCATAGTAGCAAGTGAAATTATTTCCTCATTAACTGTTGAAATTAAACAAAATTAATAGGATGTTATTAGTGGTTTTATTTGTGATATGCTGAATAACCTCTATCAGTGTAGAAGATTTAAGTGAATATAGATTTATGTTGACTTGCTTTATAGATCCTTTCAGAGGGAGCTCTTCAAATACCTGAGGTTGCTTTAAGTTGATATCATGTTTATTTTACTTTAATTATATGCTTGATAAGAAAATTATTTTTAACTATTATTAAATTTAATTCTGTTTTTGATCCTGAAGCTGCCAGAAAAAATTATATTGAACTACTACGAGAAATATAAGCCTCGAATGAATGAGCTGGAAGCTTTTAATATGGTAAATATCAGAGTTAAACGTATTAAATTGGATATGTTGCTAGACTTGAATAGGGTCCTATTAAATTCTATTATGGGGCCAAGCAATCTATGTTGTTTTTCTGTTACTGTAGAAAAACTGTTTTGGATCATTTCCTATTTTAGAACTATATTAGGTGTCAGTAATGTCATAAAGAGAACACATGGTAGATTTCTCTTAAAATGTATTATAAGTGCACAAAAAGAAGTTTCAGAGTCCTTTGAACACATATTGGTTTCTATGTAGTTATTTCACAAGCATTCCTTTTAATGAATTTCATTCTTATTGCCTCTTTAAAAACTTTCTGTCACATGTGATTGCTTCTTGGATTCTACCTCAAAGTCACTTAAAGGACATTCTTTTCAAACTATTATTAAAGAAAACCTTTTGATCTCTGCAGTATTCATTTTCTGAAGATATACATGGGCATTGGAGATTTGGTTCATATAAACTTCTGTAGATATATGTTTTCTTAAACATAATTGTTAGGGAAATGAGCTAGACTTTTTTTTTCTTTTTTTTTTTAAGTACCACCATCCTATATCTAACTTTTTCTTTTAGTTGAAAGTTGTTCTGGCTCCTTGTATAGAGACATTGATTCTTCTGGATCGACTTTGCTACCTAAAAGAGCAGGTAAATTCTGTTATTTTTAAATTCATAACAAATATCTTTACTAAATATAATAATATGGATCCACTTATACCTAAGATAAGGTCCTCTCATATAAAACTAGTAGGAAAACTTTTTTCATTATATTGTTATAGTTTAAATATTCATTCCATCTCTTTTTAAACATATAAGCATATGTACAACAGATGTTTTCAGCAAAACTGCTATAATAAAGTTTACTTTTTTTAATTGTATGGTAATTACTATACACAGACAGTAAATATAAACCACCATATATGACATATTGTATAGCTAAAATCAATAAATACCAGACATAAAATATCTTGTATACACATTTTATTTTGTAAGAGTTTGTCTTTTAATTCACTTTTGGATTTTTGGCTGTATGGATTCTGTAGAATAGAAACTTCTTTCTGATTAATGACGTTCCCTTCTGTTTTTTCACAATCTTACTTGTTTTATCTATGTTGAACGACAGAAATATTGTCTTTTGGATTGTCTTCAGGGAAAATAGTTTCTGAAGATTCTACTCTGAACTGTGATCAAAATAAAGTTTGGTGAACTGTTTAAGTTAAACCCCTTCATGGACTCACCTGACAATTCTACTGTAAACTCCTTATTTTAAATATTTTATCATATAGGGAGCTTTATTTTTTTCTTTTCAGCAGGCTGCTTAGAATAAATGGATGTTAATAAATGTTTGTTTTGTTCTAATTTGTATTTTTATGAAGAAAGGCAGTTTTTAATACTTAAATAATGATGTACTTTCCTAAGTTGTCAAGTAACTTCACATCACTGAAAAGCTTTGATTCGCAAGTTGTTAGGGGACAGAATCAGAACCTGTTTTACCAGATTCTGATATCTCTTTTCAAAACAATTTTCAATTGTATTGGTAAGTGACACAGTACTCACAAAGATTGACAACTTGTAAAGAAATTATATAAATGTTAATTTGTAATATTTTAAATGGTATTTTGTTATAAAAGTAAAACATTTATGTTACAAAACATAATACAGAGAACATAAAAATCAAAAGAGTCATAATTCCCACATTTCAGCTTAGTCTATTAAATTTTTTAAACATTTTCTAATGAATCATAAATACAGGTATGTCTTGTATACATATATGTACATATTATTTATACTTTAATTTGTATTAGAATTATAACATTTTATTTATTGTAATATTTTATTTATTTCGAATGAAATATAAATATTTCATTAAATGTATGATAGAAAGTGAATATTTTACCATCAAATAATTTATTTAACTAATTGTCATTTGTTATTGCCACTTCCCATTTTTTATGATCACAGCAAAAAATAAGCTTGTAATGTACTCTCTATGTACATCTTTAATTATTTTCTCAGAAATAATTAGTGAAATTACAATTTCACTCAGATGGTGAAATTGTAATTGTTAATTTGATCTAACAAAAAATAATTTTCCTTTATTTGGTTTTTATATAGTTTTTATATTACAATATGTAATCTGATTCATCACTCCTGTTTTTTCTTTAACAAATGGTTGTATATCTGAATCACTTGTCAATTTGCAGGAAGATATTGCATGGTCTTCACTTGTGAAGTTGTTTGATCCTGTGAAATCTCCCAGATGCTATGCTGTTATTGCTCTGAAGAAACAGCAATGATTTCAAATGAAGCAAATTAGATGATGTATCTGTTAGTGGGACCTGTTGCTAAGATGGCTTTTCTAAACAGTTATATCGTTTTATATAAATATTTAAAAGTTATTGCTATATTTTTAAATAAATAATAAAGTAATGGCTAACAACAGAAAGTCATAATCCATTTTTCCATTACCAAAGCATACATTAATGAAACAAGAACCCACAATAATATTATAAAAGGGTTATGAAGGGTTTACCTACATTCCTGAGTTAGTATGTCAGTAGAACATTATAATCTGAGCCTTAATTCCTATTCAATATTTGAGACCCTTTATATATGCTACATATCACATTTTTACTTTTATTGACTTAAATACAGTAAGAGGTACAGGCAGTTGATGCTGAAGATCATTTGAATTTTTGTCTGCATTTTAGAAGGGTTTTCTGTGTTATCAGGAGGGGGGAAAAATCTACATTTAAAGGAAAGAAATACCCAGTAGCCACTCAGAAATTAAAAGGTGCCTAATATAAAGTTCATTTTATACTGTGTTGTAATATAAATTACATGGGGTAATATTTTTTGCCCTTAAAGGAACATGTTTCTTATAAGTGAGATATTCTTTTTAAGGATTCTTGTGACTATTTATCTTACTAAAATAAAGTGATGGATTGTCACTTAATGGAATTACCTTATGCTCTGTAAAAAGCCAATCTGAGCAAATCAAGAGTGACTGGAAGGAAGTCAGCACCCTGCCCACTGTGAAATAAGTTTCTTCCATTAGCAGAAAACTTGAAGATTCATATGCAAACATAGAGATGAACAGCTGGGATAAAGCTTCCATTATTCTCAGCTAAAGAGATTTTATAAAATTTTCCAAAGCAGAAAAAGTAATTGCTTTTTTAAATTCTGGAGCTCATACACAGATAATAAGAATAATTATTTTACCTTGAGTGTGCAATGAATAGCTATGTGAATATTCAGATTCTTTGTATGGCTAGTGCAATCCTGGAAAATAAGTCATTTTTTAAGCTGTGTTTTTTGTTTTTTGCTTTTTTGTTATTGTTTGTTTGATTTTGCAAAATTTCAAATCCAGAAGTGGAGAGTAGATATAAGGAATCCCCATGGACTTCATCACAAACTACAACAATCATCAACATTTTACCAATCTTGTTTCATCAATACACACATGAACATGCACATGAACATCCACTTCAGCTGGAAAATTTCAAAGCATATCCCTGGCAGTTTGTTATTTCTTATAAACACTTTAATATACATTTCTAACAGTTAAGGATTTTTTTGATAATGACATCTATAATTGTTTTCATTCACATATCTGTAGTTGGCTCAAAAAAGTCTTTTACATCAGTTTCTTCAATTCAGAATTGAAACCATGTTATCACCTTTGGTTTGTTAATGTGTCTCTTAGGATGTTTTAAATATATAATATAATAGTTTCCCCTCCATTTTAAAATTCCATACCATTTTTATTTTTTAAAAAACCAGTTTGTTTATTCTATAGAATATCCCATTTCTGGATTCATCTGATACCTTTGAAGACCCATTTAATACAACCACCTGTCCCAAGTATTTCCTGCAAACTGTTAGATTTAGGAATTTGATCAGATTAAAATTACTATTGTGTGTTTATTTAGTTAGTTTTATGTGCTTTCTATTGCATCACATCAAGAGGCACATCACGCTGGGCTGGGTGGCTCAGCCAGTAATCCCGCGCCTTGGGAGGCTGAGGTGAGTGGATTGCCTGAGCCCGCTGGTTCGAGACCCACCTGGGCAACTTGGTGAGACTTCATCTCTACAATAAATAAAAAATTAGCTGGGCGTGGTAGCGCGCTCCTGTAATTCCGGCTACTCGGAAGGCTGAGGCGGAAGGATCGCCGGAGCGCAGCAGGTGGAGGCTGCGGTGGCCAGGAGCAGCCACTGCACTCCAGTCTGGGCAACAGAGTGAGACTCCAACTCAAAAAAAAAAAAAAAGAGGCACATCATATTTGGTTGTCCTATATTTAGTGATAGTAAAATTGATCAGCAACTTTGGTTGTTATGAACCTGACTTATCCAGTATAAAGTTTCTCCATCAACTTTCTTTTTAATAACTTTAGCAGCCAGTGGCAAAGATAGAAAACAAGAAGTAAGAAAGAAAAATCCACAGACTATGAGTCGGTTTGTCATATCCCTGCTGATTGGCTGAGAATCCTCCCCAGTTTCAATTCTTCTATTGCATTATTTCATGCTAAATTGCCGTTTTGTTTAAGCATGTTGTGATTTCATTCTATTGTTTGCTGTATTGAGTAACTATTTCAGAAAGAGCAGAAAGCCTTCCGGTCTATTTTTTCTTTTATAATTTCACTTTCTATGTTAAATTTAAATTCTTTTTCCTACTACCCAGGTATTTATATAGATTCATTTCTCATTATAATAAAGAAAAAGCTTAATATGTATAGAACACTGTTTAGTATAGCAAAGTAAATTGAACTGTTTCATCAGCAAGGAAATATTATGGTAATTTTCTTATACTTTAAACAATTGCCAAAATTGTATTTACCCACTAATGTTTTCCATTTTTATTAACTAGTTAAACATGCAACTCAAGCATCAAGTTAACATGAGACAATTACACTGAATATTAATATTAATAAAATATAAAATAGAATATTTTAACAAGACTATAGCTTTGTACACATGAATCTTATTGGAATGTTTGTAGACTCTTGTCTCATAAAAACTGCTCTTTGCCGGGCTCGGTGGCTCAGCCTGTAATCCCGCGCCTTTGGGAGGCTGAGGTGAGTGGATTGCCTGAGCCCGCGGGTTCGAGACCTACCTGGGCAGTGAGACCTCATCTCTACAATAAATCAAAAAATCAGCCGGGCGTGGTAGCGCATGCCTGTAATTCCGGCTACTTGGAAGGCTGAGGCGGAAGGATCGCCAGAGCCCAGCAGGTCGTGGCTGCGGTGGCCGGAAGTGGCCATTGCACTCCAGTCTGGGCGACAGAGTGAGACTCCAACTCAAAAAGAAAAAAAAAATGCTCTTTGAGAACTAGTTTAAAGGTTAGTTCAAGAATGTGGTACATTGACATGAGTACCAGTTCTGACAAGTTTTGAGTAGAGCTAAAGTGAGATGACCCTTAACATCTCAGAACCTAATTTGTAAAATAGAGTTTTGTTTAATATTTATTAAATATTTAGTGAGCTCCTATAATTTGGTTAATATTTATTAAACATTTATTGAACGCTTATCATTTGTCAGAGATTATGCTAGATATTGGCAGTATGGAGACAAACAAGATAGATTCCTGTCTTCAAAGAGCTCACTAGTGAGAAAGATAAACAATAAAATTACTGATTACAGTAGTTATAATTGTCAGGATCAGAGCTGAGAGGTTCAGGATATAGGATTCTGAGAGGTTCAGGATATAGGATTCTACAGGGTGTCTTCAGATAATTAGACAAGGGAAAGAGGAATTCAGTAATACTAGTATCATAGTTTAGATTCATGGGAGTTAAACTGTTTTGTGTCTTTGGGTGAATTACTTAACTGTTTAGTGTGCCTCAGTTGTCTCACCTATAAAAAGAACTTAAAAATAGAACCTACTCATAAGACTGTTATGAAGATTAAATTAATATGTTAATGAACTCCCTCAAACTTTTATCTCCAATAAATTATTACTGAAATGAAACTAAGTTATTTGAACTTACTGCAATAAGAGGACGCTTCTTTGAGAATCTAGACAGTGTCTTTGAAGGAAGAAATTAGGAGAGGACATTTATAGGATACAAAGGTCTGAGCTCAAATGTGCAGAACAGACTGGGATTTGAAAAAGTTTATGACATAAGAGTTTAGGATTCGTATATATAAAAATACAAGGGTAGCCAGGCTCGGTGGCTCAGCCTGTAATCCCGCGCCTTTGGGAGGCTGAGGTGAGTGGATTGCCTGAGCCCGCGGGTTCAAGACCCACCTGGGCAGCGAGACCTCATCTCCACAATAAATCAAAAAATCACCCGTTCGTGGTAGCGCGCGTCTGTAATTCTGGCTACTCGGAAGGCTGAGGCGGAAGGATCGCCGGAGCCCAGCAGGTCGAGGCTGCGGTGGCCGGGAGCGGCCACTGCACTCCAGTCTGGGCGACAGAGTGAGACTCCAACTCAAAAAAAAAAAAAAAAAGTACAAGGGTCTTGAAGCAAACTTTGATAAGTAAGCTTGCTTGATAAGTGAGCTCTTTGCCAGGATGAGAAGATTGTTCATCTGAGATAAATTAATATATGAGAATTTTCTGAAACAAGCAATGAAGTTATCTATTGATATATACAGTCTTATCAACCCTGAGCAAAGTTTTTCTATAACAAACAAATAAATCATGTTGAAAGAGGTGGTTTCAATTCTTAGACTTAATACTTCTGTCATACTGATGCAGATGGTTGCAGTTCTGTGTAAAGCACTTAATTCCTGGCACATAGTATAAAAGCAGTAATTGTATTTGTTAAGTGTCCTAGAGTGACAGAAATGGGGATCTAACCATATTTATAACATGAATTTTGTAGGAAAAAAATGTTTCCTAAATTCGAATCAAACAACTTACAAATAAATTTGTAAAGTCCCTTTTCGAAATCTGGGGAATTGTTTACACTTTCAAGTGGATTTGATTATTGGATGAAAAACATTACATTACACACAGTAATTAGATTAGTGATATTGCTTGCTGAGATAATCTATTATCTTCAGGTTGTTATTATATTTATTTCTGGGATGATTTCTGTTTACTATATATTTCTGTCTCCTTTAACTTAGTGATTGTATGTGTAGGTATAAATCCAGGGGCTGATACCAAAAGGTGTTTCCACATTACATGCATCTAAAGATTGTTGTTTGTGATTCTAGTCACTGTGCATAATAATAATTATTATTTATTATTATGTATTGTTATTATTCCTTCTTAACATGCACAGTTATTGCAAAGTCTTTGTCATGAAGCATGCTGTCCCTTGTCTTCCTAGATGACTAATGAGCTAAATTGACTGCTTTTTTTTGTTTTCTAGCTTTCTATTTTTCTCCATTTTTTGAAATTTCTTTTCAAAATACAAGGAAACACATTTTGTTTAAATCTCTCCAACTGTAATTTGTTCTAAAACCATGAAAGAGTATTGCTGCCATCAACTATTTGCAAATAAATACAGCCCAGAGGCATGCTGTAACAATAGATACAGGTAGACAGGCTTCTAATC